TATATATATATATATATATATATATATATATACACACACACACACACACGGTTTTATACCAACATTGCCAAAGTTGAAATTATAAATTTATTTATATTGGTATCTTTACCAACTCAATCTAGATGCATTATCATCGAGCATTCAGAGCATCTCCAATAGATTCTATAAAATAGAGAAAATGAAGTATTTATTCTCTACTTTGCTTCAACAAATTCTTTATATTGTTTTCTAAAAAAATAAAAAGCTCTAAGTTTAAATAATTTTCTAAAACTTGATGTGTGCAGAAAGAAATTAATTATTGTATTCGTTCTAAAAAGTAAGATTGGATTATTATTATTTTATAAAAATTCTTTTTAAAAAGTTTATTGAGAGAATAAATGTGTAGAGTATTTTAATAATATAATGAACGTTGAAATCTTTAATTGTATTATTTATTAAATGTATTATTTGATCATTAAATAATTATCTAGTAAAATTTGTTAATAAACTATATCAACATATTTATCGCAATTAAGTTTAAACACAATTTAGGTAATCATCTCTTAAAAATAACCAAAATACCTTTTAAGTAATTGTTAAAGGCATTCCCATAATTTATACTATAACACAAAATTAGAGGTGATCATTTGTAGGGTTGGATCAGTCCATGCTGAGCCAAACATATATATTTCCAATAGGTTTAAGCTGACAAACTCAAACTCATTTTTGGGGTTGAGAACTTGTTCCTACTCGTCCTCAATAGGGGTGTTCACGGTCGTTTAGGAAATTTATCAAACCAAGCGATTTGACAACAAGTAACAAACCAGCTAAACCGGACCACAACAAGGCAGTTTGGTCTGACTGGTTTAGATGGTTTAAGTCTCTTATGGGCTTCAAACTCGAAAAAAGCATAACATCTATATTCAGAATGAAATTCCTACAGATTTAACATTATTAAAAAAATATGATACATAATCTATACTATCTTATTAAGCAAATTTAGCAAAAGTCTTAAAGTCTTAAAATACTAAAGGACCAAAATACCCTTTATACTCACTTTTTCACCCGCTCCTCTTCTCACATACACTCACCCCCTCACATACACTCACCCTCTCACTACTAAAATTATAATTTTAAATTTACACTTTATACCCCTATAATTAATTAATTAATTTACTTTAAGTCCTTTACTTTTAAATGTTTCATTTTAAAC